CCAGGATCTTCAAAGGACCGCTAAAGATATAATTAGATATTATTAGAATTATTGCTCAAAAATCACTGTGAAGGTAAAGACACCATACTTCTATGGTGTTTTTACCATACTTCTATGGTATTATTAAAAACCATCGTGCCAATGAAACATAATTACTTTCCACCGTGACTGAAAATCTAGACTCTTTTGGAAGCACTAGCAGATAGTAGAGAATAGTTCCATATAGAAACTTAAGTGTTTACATGATTTATCAAGGCCACCTCCCAGACCACACTGATTCTTTCCTGAGCAGTTTGCATACTTTTTTTGCCAGCAACCTGTATGATTGGTGACTTCTGAAAACTCTGAACTTCATTTTTTCAGCACAAGTATCAGCACATTAACCTGCTGAAGACAGTAAGATACGCAGCTGCCAGTGAAGAACAAAAAGCAAGATCAAACTTTGCAATGAAAATTAAATCCTCTGTTGGCTGTCTCAAATTATTCAGGAAAAAAAGTCAATTGTAAGAGTAATAAAAATAAACAGCAGGATTGCTATCTCTGAAAGGCCCCGGGACATACAGGGATAGATAAAAATCACTGAAGCACAGTCTAGGATCTCAGAAATGCCAAAAATGCATTTGAAACCAGATCAGTTGCAAACATCCTGCCTCGCTTCTGGTGTGCCAGCATACCCAAAGGCAAACAGAGGGAAGTCCCGTGGGCAGGCGCCGAGCAGGGATTTGGTTGATTTGGGTCAGTTCCACGCTTCTGCCATACATCTTCCATAACCTTGGGCAAGCAGATTAATTGCTCTGTGCCTCAATTTCCCGCAGTAAAATAGCGTCAGCAATAAGAGCAACATGGATTCTGAAGTAATTTCATCCATATGTCATCCACAATAGAGCCTACAATTTCTGATGGAGCTGGTATATGACTTTTAAATGGCCACTCAGTGGTGTCCCTCTCTTGCCCTTTATGTGAAAGCTCTCCCTTTACAGCATCTTCTCCGTACACCTTGTGCAGCAGACACTTTGACACAGCTGTAGGACAGAAATAATACATTTCACAGCAGCAATAAAACAATGGGAGCCATAATTTCTTTGAACTCCGGGTCAAACTTGTTGTTAGCCAAGTCTGTAAGAACTCGTATAGTAAATTACATACGTGTCTTTATCAGCAGGATCATAAAATAAAACTTTACAACCCTTCTGAAGGTCACGGGTCTGCAACAAACAGTAAGACAAAACAATCAGTTCACCCCCAAGACCACCATTTTTGTGACTTTGGCAGCTTTGGTTAGAACTGAGGAAATTAGAACTTTGTCAATCTTTATACAAAGTCTTTCTTATTTCTCCTTTGGACCCATCTCCCATTTCTCCCTAAGTGTAAGGCAAAGGCTACAGCAGTAATAATGGCTGTTATTGGTTTCAGCAACAGCAAAGCCACATTTATCTCTATACACACATTTAATGGAAACAATGACCAAAGTGTTTCTTGGCAAATTAGTCCCCTTCACCCCCTAAAGAAAAACACATCTATAAGCTATTTCCAAAACAATCAATATTAGTCCAGCAAGCAAAACTGTATGTTACATTTCCCATCAAAGTCTTGGCTTTCCCTCAAACAAGTGATGCTTTATAAATTACAACTACTACCAAATAAACTGGAGAGAGGACTTCTGAGCCAGGCACCCTGCTGCTTTTCCCGCAGGTCTGGGGGCTTGGATGTAGGTAATTCGGCTAAAATCCCTGTGCTGGTCTGCTGACTTTTAAACACTTGGCCCAGCAATGTATCTTTTTGTCTCTGCTTGTACAGAAGCTAGCAACACAGTCCACTGAACACTGCCACAGTATCACAACATAAATCATAATGGAGAGAACAGCAGTCCCTACTCGCAGCTTCAGAGTGTGCATTTGCTCTCCTGTGGATTTAAAAATGAGAAGACTGAGACATGATGTTAGTTCTGCAGGTACTACTTTTTAAATTAAAAATAGAGCACTTTGGGATACTTTGATCCCGCACATAAAAAAATTAAGTGAAGGGATTATCTGATATTCTTGAAGTGAAAAAAACAAACGTTTTCCTCTAAACACTCTCCTGAGAGGCTGGCATTTGGTTATGCAAAGTTTATGGCATTGCTCTTTTATCTCCCATCACTCTGTTCTAATGTTGCAAAGCTACCGACACAGTAATCAATGACACTCATTCTTTCCTCTGAAGCTCAAAGAGAGGACAAACTTGAAAAGAGGCAAGTACATGCTGCTGAGGAACTGAAATGTCGAGAAATACTTACCAAAATGATGCTAGCAGAGACAGTGCTGGTCACCTGGGCTTGAGGGCTGACTGCTTACTGTACTAAAAACACCCCAGTGTAAGCTACTGCACTGCATGGTTAGGCTAAAAGATGGTTCCTGTGTGCAAAGAATAACAGCTTTTTATTTGAAAAAGTGACAGTTTTTATCTGCCTTCAGCCACTGTCACTGTGCAGACTCTAAAAGAAGATGTATCAAGGAAAACTGCTTAAATTAAGAAATTCTGTGTGTGTTTCCCTGACCACATGTCCAGGAGGAACAAACTCCCTGCCCTCCAGATTAACTTCCGTTTCATTCTAGGAGAGGAGATTCAAAGGAAATACATGACATTCCACATGGAAATCCCAAAGAAAACATGTCACATTCCTTGGCAATACCAGCCCACGTTATATATACATAGCACGAGGTGAACAATGCCAGCCTGGAGGGAAAGAGCAGCTCCCACCCTTGCTGGGTACCCATAAATCAAGCTTCTCACAAGAATGCCAATCTCTGTATTAACCCTAAGCAGTATGATCACACACACTGGCCTCAGCCTCTCCTCTCTCCCACCACTAAGAAAACCAGCACATGTTGAAGGCTGTTGCCAAGACTGGAGAACCTTTTCTTACCCTTCTGAGCCATCTGCTTAGCTCTCCTGGGACAACCCTGCTCACCTCTTGCTTCATCTGCCAAATTACTAGGGGTAGTTTTCTCAGTGAGCTTTCAGGCCTAAGGGCAGTGTCCCCTTAGCTCAACCCTGCCCACTGGATGCCCAGCTCACCAAGCACCTTTCAGTGAATCAGAAGGAGAGACTGCTCCTATTGGATACCTCATTTGAAACACACAAAAAACTAATCACGGTCCATCCTTATTACTCCTTTCTTACCTTCATCTATTTATCTACAAATCAAAGGTTCAACCTTTACCTTCAATCCTGCAACAAGCTCTTAACAGGGCAAAGAACAAAGGATAGGTCAGACCATTCTTTGTTCTTGCAGGCTGTCACTCTAACAGCCACTCTGCACACCAGTTGAAAGCAGTTCTGTATCCATCCCTGCAACTTGTGACTCGTGCTACATTAACCTACAACCTTTTTGGCTTCTTTCATTGTCTTCTTCTCTACATCTTGTTTTCTGCCTGTCACTGTTTAGCCCCACCTTGCCCATCAGATCTGGCATCTCACAGTGGGATCAACAATCTCCCACTGATGCTAAACCCAACAGAGACAGCCCAGAGCTGCTGCAGGGATGACATCAGAGTAGACAGGAGATGGTCTTGCCATCCCCCCAATCTGTTCTCAGCAGATGGGCTTCCAGTTCAAGCACTCTCATTTACAGCAACTGTGACAGAACCAGTGACTAAGGATCTCAATAAGGACACCTGCTCATTCCAAGTTATTTAGGAACAGGCTATGGATGGGGCTGTTTGGCAGCAGTGCTCTTTCCACATCTTTCTGCTGAGAGAAGTAATTTCAAACCAAGGCCAGCAGTAACAATTAAGACAACATTCTAAAAGGAGAGATGGTCCAAATGCAGGAAGATACTTGGGTGTGGGATGTGGGAACTTCTCAGTGGTTTCAAAGGGAAGGCAGGTGCTTGAACTGTTTCGTGGAACCAGACTTACCAACTCAGTGCTGTACTGGGAAATGCAAACCAGCAAACGCACAGTTAACACCTGCCTAATCAAGCGGATGAAGGAGACATGAAAAAACTTGATATGCAGATGTCTCAGTGCATGCAAGAAACCCCCCCCAAAGTAATGACCTTGTGGTGATGCTGTTTGCATGACCATAACATGTAAAAACCCCAGCCATGGAGCACACTGAAACATGGCAGGTGTCACATGACATAAATAGGTATTTTTAGATACTGCAGGTGCAGTATTATACAGCCTCACCAGAGAGAACTGTGACTGCAGTATTACCAGTGCAATGGAAGTTGATGACTATTTCTTGATCTCTTTCATCTACTTGGAAAAGAAGTCTTCAGGCTTGTTCTGCAGCCACTTCACATTGTGTGTGCCAATTTACAAAGGGTTCATCAGTAGTAAGGCCACTACCTTGCCTTTTCTCTTTATATATATTGTTTGTATTCCAGCCATAGTGGGTTCCAGAGTAGTAAGCACCATGCAAATGACCATTTGCTGGATTGTGATAATTTGGAAGGGAAGAAGGATGCTGGAAACCCTCTGTTCAAGTCCCAAATAAATCACTGGTTTCCAGTTGCCTTACGCAAGTCACTTGGTCTTCCCATAGTCCTGTCTTCAAAACAGAAACGAATATTTCTTTAGCTGGCAGAGAAGCTGAGAGCATAAACCCATTAAAGACTGCCAAGGAATTCAGATCCTATAGCGATAAGCAATTACTTAATACATATGCAATGCTTGGGAGCACATGTTCGTTGTTTTGCAATATAGATAAAACTGTTTGGTCCGACGAGTACATGAGAGATTTTCTCAACAGCAACACAAAAGCTAAGCAACAACAAAACCCCACCAATAAACTGCAAGTTGGCTCTGGAAAGACGGATGAATGAACTCTGATCTAACTCAACATTTCTTTGTGCTAGGAATGTGTGCTCTCTTAGAGACAAAAAACAGATATCTTCTGCAGAAGTTGTGCAACAAATCTGGGTATACAGAAGATGAAACCTCTACTAAAGACATTGAAGGAAACACTCTGATGCTGAGAGCTACAGTTTTATAACAGAAGAAGAAACCACAGAGTTACAAAACAACCCAGTACATCTTTATTGATGATTCAGAAAATCAAACATTCACCTGACTTGCTCCAGCAGTACCAAGGTGACACTGCCCCTTGGTAGGTTTGGTTGATTTTTCCAAAGTAAGCAATATTTGCTTTTAACTCGGAGTGGGGAGGATCATGCTTTACAGTAGCCATCTTGCAACAGCAAGTGCACTGCTGCCATGACAGTATTTTTAGGTCACACCTCCTTTTTAATATTTCACATAACCCCGACTACCTCCCAACATCACTTACTTAGTACCTCCATGGCCTGTATTAGTCTCAGGAGAATCTTAACTCTTTAGTTAAGTGGGATTTACTAATACTCCTGAAGTGCACTGAAGACATGAGCTGCTATCAAATAAACTGCCGGTGTGCTTCCATAATCTCACCAGAACATATATTATTTTCAATAGCCCAGTATGAAACTGACCAAGAGTTTCACTGATATAAAAATTATCTTGATTTTGCGCTAAAATACAGTCATATCCTAGTATGTTATATACGGATAGTCACACCAGTTTTCTCCATATGAGTCAGCTGCTGAGCTACAGGAGACAGGAGTGAGAAAATCTGGGGAAAGGAATAACATCTTTGATATTGTCAACTCCCAAGATGTACTGCAGGTAGCGTTCAAACCCCATTCCGAAGCCTCCATGAGGAACTGAGCCGAATTTTCGGAGGTCTAGATACCTGTAATTTAAACAGATAGTTACATTTGCAGCACAGTTATGCTGATGTAATTAAAGTGAGTCTTTTATCTAGGGTTTTGTTTTCTATCTGAATTACTTCCCTTTGACCCTGATCCACTTTGATTTCTGCTGGTGTTGATCAGGGGTGTGAAGAGGCAGAAACCCCAGGTACAAACCCATTTAACCCAGCATAGCCGCGCTTTGCCAACACACTAGAGCATGTTTTGTTTAGGAGCAAGAACTTATTTGGGTATGAAGAACAGCTTGAACATCATAGCTCTGCTCATACTGAAAGCACATTTGTAAAAGTTCTAGTATCTAAAATATTCCTAGAAGAGCCACAAACCTAGGTTCCTACAGAATCACAATGCACTTCCATTGTTGGAGAGGAAACTGCCTTCTTGGGTTTGTTTAGCCTTTACCCTGCTGGTGTCGAAACCTGCCCTAAAACAAGCTCTTTCATTTTCTGTTCACTTTTCCATAGCCTAAGTAATGTCATTTCCCGTAATTTCTTCAGAAGCCAAAGTAGGTCTTGCTGTCTGCTCAACATTCCTTCAGACTTTTTTTCTTTTAAGGTAATTAAGATGGCTTTTTGCTACTTTTTCCCCAATCACTCTTATAGACTGATTCATTTGTTTCCATAGTAAGCCAGCAAAAAAACCTTGACTATATCTTCTCTAAAAATGAGATCTGGAACAAGGTGTTGTACTTTGGAGAACAGCTTTCTGTGCACAAAAAGCAGATATCCCAAATATATGGATGTCAACGAGATTATGATGGTTCTTCTCTAGAGTTCCCTATTTCCCAGTTGGACTGTAGCTGATGTGATCCTGTATTTACAGCTATAAATTGTCACCAACGGTTTTATTTTAATAGGAGTGAAAAACATCTCAGTGGTTCTATTGATTTATGGGGCCACTTCTGAGCTTGCTGAGAGCACAAAGGCATTCTTCTTTATATGAATGCACTAGTAAGGGATTGAGGGACTCCAGATATATTACATGCTTCTAATCTTGGTGTATGAATATTTTATCATCCCAGTTTAAAAAAAAAATCAGGTGCACTTAAATATAAATGCATATATATGTTTTTCTACTTAGGCAGTGGAATGGAGGGGGGAAACACTGTGAATAAATTAAGACTGGATTGATTGCAATAAATGGCTTCCCAAATTTTAACTACTGTTAATGAACTGCAAAGAAATAATATATTCATGTATATATATATATATATATATATAAAAGTATGCATTTTATATATTGGAGTGTACTTGCTTGGACACCAGAACTTGCTTGGCTTGAAGACTGTATTTTAACAGAGTGAAGGCAAAGTAATGCCAGTGATCACCTTTACTTGCAAAATAAAAGCACTCTCACACAAACTGTACAGCTGCAAGAATGCCCTGGCACTCAGCTTGACAGTATGCATTTTATACCATGAAATATTATTTTTCCTTGCAGTTCATTAACAGTAGTTAAAATTTAAGAAACCATTTATTACACTCAGCCCAATCTTCAGGTTTTTTTCCCCCCAGTGTTTTTCCCTTCCCTCCACTGCCCAAGTCGTAAAAACAGAAGCATATCTTACTTCTTCCTAGTAGCACTGACACACAAAGTGCAGTTGTGCTTATACTTCAAGTTGAACTCAAGAATGGGACATGTTCTCTGATCACTGGGACCCACGTGCCTTCTATCTGTGCTGCTGCTTAGTTAGCTGGGCTCACTAAGGCTCAGCTGCATCCATCCCACACCTTGTAATGAGGATTATGCTTAGGCTGCGAACATGCAGACTGTGCAACTGCTCGGTGGTCTTCATTTCTATCCACTTTATACAGACTGCCATTAATAAGAACTTGTGTTTCTGCTAATACCCTGGGAACTGCCCCTGGGGAGCTCCGTTTCACAGCTTTCCAAGGGTTTTCAAGGCAGATGATAGGCAGACCTGATGATGAGGGTGGTGACTCATGAAATGGGAAAGATCTCATAAATGTGAGGTATCTGCTGGCTGTGGCAGATCACTGTGACCCAGCTCAGCAGTTCTGAGCAGAACTTGCAAAACAGCTGGTGACAACTTTAGCTGTAACTAGGAATATAAGTACCAGCACAAGGATTTCTGATGATGTCTGTAAGTACATCTCAGCCTTGCAAAGGCAGCTGAGACTAAGCCTAGCATCTTCTCTCCCCATTTGCTGGCAACTGAGTTTGTAAAGTCATTGTAAGAAGAAGAAATAACTCAGCTTCTTCCAGATGAACGATAATAATAAATTCTACCCTTACTTATCCAGGACTTTGATCTGTAGATCTCAAAGCACTTTGAGAAGCCATTTTGGCAAAAGGAGTGAAACAAAACGCATCAAAGTTAATGGAAAAAGTCTATTGAATTAAACGTGCAGAGGATCAAGACTGTGAATCCCTTCTGATGACTGTGCTTAGAAGAAGCAGAGGAATTGGGAAATTTTCCATTCTTCACAGATGAAAGAAAAAGTAACTGCCTGCAGATGAAGAGAAAAATCCCTTTAGACTGGAAAATGCTCCCTGAGGTTTTCCTTCATTCAGTAGTCTCCAGACATTGGATGTTTCTCACCTCAAAAACAGTCATGAACTAGTCTGTTTTTGCTAGTAAGTCATACTTAGAGGAGAGCTGAGCTCTCCTTTGGTAACTGGGAGACTGTGCAACAGTATTCCACAGGGAAAATGAGTTTCTGTGACCTCAGCTAGCCCCTGAGTTCATGTTCTGGACTGGAGGAGTGTTAGCTCTTCAGCAATTTGAATCTTGCTAAAGTATGTGCTGCAACAACATTCCCCAGCGACAAATTCCAGGAGCTTGTTATGTGCCACGTTAGAAGAGCATTTCCTTTCATCCTTTTAAAGATCTATATCCTTTTATCATCATGAACTCCTGTGTTGCATGGAAAGGCACTATGAAGAGCAGCACTCTCCCAGTGACCATTCATAAGCAGAATGTGTTCTTTTCAGTCTCCTTTCCAAACAAATATAATCTTGATCTTTTATGCAAACCCCCTTGTTAAATTGAAGCCTCTGCGACCAGTTTGAAAAAAGTAAATCTGAAAGAACAAAAGTTCTTGAACAGTTCATGAAAATGAATATTCTACTGGAGGAAACAAGTTAAAAAAAAAGGGTAATGAAAAACTCCTAGTGAAATGATACTTGAGGCCATTTTACTGAATGTTTCAGGAAATAAATATGCAAAGCATCACCAGGTTCTGGTGCTGGGTCAAACACTGTCTTAGCTTTCAGGGAGCTCCTGCTCTGCTACAATTTCTTGTGAATCCACAAAAAAAGGCATTCAGGGACACCAATATAAATCAGTCTCATTATCATGAGTGAGATTTGGGCACATTCTCACTGGCTTTAGCACTGACTTTCTTCCTGCTTCTGTCTGGCTCAGCACAGTGCACCAGTCTCTTCCCAAAGCAAGAATGATAGAACCAGGCAACTGCCAAGGACACTGATGGGAAACCTGTTTTCAATGGGCTCTGAAGGAGGTTAAAGGATGATATGAATGCTATCACTATGAATGCAGCCATGGGCTGCAAGTGGAGCACCAGTGGTGCTGTTCCCTAAGCCCAACCTTTCCTTTCTATGCTGTCATATAAAGACCTATCAGGACACTCCAACATTCAAGCTTCAAAGAGAATTAGAAATTAAAGAGCCCAACAGAGCTCAGTCTTCTTCATCCAGAGCAGAAGCAGGGCCAACACAACACAGTAACATCTGTTTGAAGACAGCAGACACCACCTGCTCTGCCACTGTGTACTTTCACCAGTGTCACACTAGAAGATCAGAAAGGCACCTGGACTGTGAAGTATGAGACAATCTTCTCCACTGATGCGCATCATGATGATCAGAGTAAGGAAATGGGTTGCCTGACATGCAGGCAGACTGCCTAAAATGCTGTTCTAGCTGATGGTAGACTTGTTCATTATTACTAAGTACCCACTTTGTTACTTTTAAGCTGGCACTTCCAGGCTGCGAACAGGATCATGTCCCCTGTTTACAAGGAATATAATTATATACTCCCTGGTCACAGAGAAAGCAAGTGACTTTCCAGAGTAAACTGTGATCACTCAGCTTTCCCACCTCAGTTACACAGACCTCTCAGTTTAGCCAAGATCATCATCTACAACACTGAGCTCTTTTCTATCTACAGGTCAAAGGAAGAAGTGTGAAAATAAGATAAAATAACTGCAAAATCAAGCCAAATACTTCTCCAACTCATACTCTTTATGGAAAGAAACCTGCACAACAGGAAAGGTGTAGTGTACTGAACAAGATTCACAGGCGTTTGACCATGTCACTTTATCTACTTTTTTGGAAAAGTTTTCTAAAAGGTAGGAATGGCAAGAAGCAGAGTAGGATTTCAGGTCACCAGTTGCCTCTTTGCCCTACAATTTTCCCACAAGCAAGGTATTCCTGAAGCTATCCTAGAAACAGTCAGATTCCACAATATCCTCATGTTTAGTGGGAGAAGAAAACAGGTAGAATCTGATACATCAATGGTTAAGGGACTTCAAAAGGGATCACATTCTAAAGTCAGCAAATATTATATTTAAAAAGGAATGACTCAACTGTTCTTCAAGGAGTTTGTGAGCCAGCTTTGGAGATTCAATTCAATCACTAAATTGGAGGAGATTAATTTCAGTCTCTCCTGCCACCTCCACTGAAAAGATGGATGCTGGCAAACCACCTACCAGTTTTCTGGCAGATTTTGGACTGCAGTGCAGAAGCACCCAGAATTACTCTTACCCTGCACCTTTCTAGGACACCAAACCCTGCTATAGCAGGGGGTAACAACAGCTTTAATCTTCTCTAGGATGTTACATTATCTGTGATGGAGTAGAGTGAATAAAGGAGGAAAGAGTCTCCAAACAAGATTACAAGAGGAAGACGTTCTAGAATGTGATTGCTACTATCACATGGAAATGTACATGGGGGACAGGCAATGTCCTAATCTTCTCCTGAGGGAAGCATGAGGCAGGGCTGCACTATCTTAGTAGTGTTGGAAGGCTCTGCTGTTGAACACAAGACTTCCTCAGGCTGCATTTCAGCATCTAACCACACAACTTACACCCTTGTTCAGGATAATCCTTCCCTCACATGAAGTGATATGGTGTATTCTGGCCCACAAACACAAACAACAAAGACAGACATTTAATTCACCGTGTTTGCAAATGGATGATGTAAAGATCTGCCATATACAGTGCTATTCCTAAGTGATTTCATATTGTGGGAAGTGGAGAGTGAGGAATCCTACACTTACTCTGTCTTTTTATAGACAGCATCCTTGATGATCAATCCAAATACTTCAGAATATTTGAATATACTCTTCTAAATTTAAAATTCTCTGTGCTAGCACTCTCAGTAGCTATGACAAAGTACACACCAAGAAGAACACTAAGAACCTTCCTGTCGTTTTAAGAGGTTAACCCGATAATTCAAAGGTTGATCTGTCTCCTTAGGAAGACAGCTTTAATTGCTTTAACCACTTTGTTAGGGAAGATTTTTCGACCCAATTGTCCTGTCAATTGCAAAGGGAGTTGTTCATAGGGTTGTTAAAGGTCACAAATTGCTTGTGGTTCTTTAACCTGTTTATCTCGTGCATGGTGGTCAGAATCTATTCAACTTCCAACACAGCCTAAAGATTTAATATCAAATTATTATTATGGGTTGTAAATTAATGCACTTCATGCAATTCTGAAAGGAATGACCTGTGCTGTGAGTTGACAAATGGGGAGGATAAACTAAGCAGCATTAGATTAAACTTTGTTTAAATGAACTGTCTGTTCCATCTAGACTGGCAGTGATAGTAGGACAAGTGGGCCAAAAAACGTTCCCTCAAGAGTCTCAAAAGAAGAAATTCAACTTGCAGAGCAAGATAGCATCTTACCATTGGTAGGCATCTGCGAGTCCTAATCTGTGAAACAAACAAAAAAATCCCTTGTAAGTAAAAGGAACAGAGTTGATCTGCACAAGCCTGGAAAAGAATGCTACAAGAAAAAGGAGAGTGTGTGACTATACCCAGTCCAAAAAGGAAAGGCAGGAAATGAAGGGAAATAAAGGGAAGACATGATCAGTGGCTGTCAGTTCTGGTAACTGGTATACAATCTGGAAGAGATTCCCAACATGCTTCATAAAATGCCAAGTCTGTTTTGTCAATTGATTCCAGCTTCATGCAAAGAGTTGTACATATTCGTAACTTTAAGCATATCAGTAAACTCTGATTGTGAATGTTTGGAGAGTATGGGTCTGAATATTAAATTTACAATGACATGCAGCCAACCTTATTTATGGGTGAGTCAAAATGTCTTCCTTATGTGGTTCTCATTTCATAGTGCACGAAACCACTGAACTCCTGTAGCTTTATTAATGTGTGTCAACTTCTGTAATGTCTTTTTCTCATCAGCCCCTCTGCAACTTCTCTCCTTTTCTTGCCCTGGCATAAACTGAGCAAAGTTGTTGGTTTTCTTCCATTTCTCTGAACATGAACAGAAAATTTAGCAGTCAGAGAGACCACTTCTCCCATCCTCAGTGCACTGCAGCTGTCCCTGACTGGGACTTGGAAAGCTGTTGTATGAAACATGCATAAGGAGACATGAATCCTGTTCTTTATCTCTAAGGTTATGCTGGGTCTGCAGGAAATAGAATTTAAAAGCCTAAACAAAGTATTTGGCTCAGCAAAATCAGATCCCGACGACTCAAAATTGAGAAAAGCATGTGAAAGGAGGTGTGATTTTTCCAGGCCTTCTTCAATGCAGAGCTGTACTGTAAGGTTCACTGAAATCACATCTCATTTGTAGCTTGAAATACTTTCTATGACTTTCCTGACAAACAAGGAAGTCTGGCTTCGAACTCCATATGGACTCTCCTCCAGCCCCACAACTTGAGGACTGTGGACTTCAGATTTTATTGGCAAAAAATTTTGAGTGAAAAACTGCAGCAGGCAACATTGTACTTTACATCAGCTGAAGCATGCCTGCTTCAGAGAGCTCACAGGAGAGCAGCAGGAAGCACAGGGAATATCATCATCCTACACTAAAAATGGAGAGGCAATGTTCTGGTGATTTTAATTGCCTTGTGCCTTTTGGATTCATTATGTTGAAATGGATATTGCTTTTCTTCACTCACTAGATATATCTCTGTGAGCATGTGGCTGATTTCAGCAACAAATTAATTCCCAATGTGCAAATGGTATTACTCTGGGATTAATCCTCCTCCAAAATTGCTTGCTCAAGTGTACGACTGGGCAAATGCAAATGTTCAAGTGTTGGATGAGACTTTGCACAACCTGATCTAGCAGAAGGTGTCCCTGGCCATGGCAGGTGGGTTGGAAGTTGAAGCTAGATGGTCTTTAAGCTCCCTTCCAACCCAAACTTTTCTGTGATTCTGCAAAAGGTTCTTTTGAACACTCAGGCAGGATCCAGAGAGTAATTATCTATGGAGAATTATCCCATCTATAATGTCAACTAAACAGCAGGTTTGATATTCTGACACTGAATTTAGCCTAAAATTACTCAAAGTCGCATGATCCAGACTAAGGCAGTGGTGAAAAAGCTCAAATGACAGTTAGGTCTCAGGCACTTCCAGTGAAGCTTTCCACCAAAGTGTTAACAAAGAACGGTATTCTCTGAAATGACACCAGTCACCGAGGCCAGCTGCACCACAGCTAGCAAAGTTTCCGACCAAAACTGCAGTTCCTCAGTTACACAGAGTGATGACAAATGCATCTAAGTTCTGTCTACATGACTACTTCCACCTTCACAATCCACTCTCAGCCACAAAAACTGTGAAGGAAAGGCTCAAGGATGAAGTGCCTCACATCAGATCCTGTACCGGATAGTCCCAGCAAAGTTGAGGCATTCTGCTGTCCTGGCCTCCTAGCGTAAAGTAGAACTTTTCTCCTCTGGTAAGCTAAAACAGAGAAGCCATTTGCCTACCTCCAACAGAAGCATAAGAACTTCTTCACCAGTTTGCAATCGCGTACTCGTATAAACAGATATCACAAAGACAAAACCAGGCTTTTAAATACTATTAGTTGACCTTCCACTCCTCTGTCTTCCCAACCGCTGTAGGCTGCTCAAACACTCTCCTGAGCAGGCTGGTCTCCTGGGACCTGCAGGTTTTCCATACCTCTGTAAGCGTGATTCGAGGAAAGGCAGTCGCTCTTCTCTCAAGCTGCCTCCACACAACTCCCCTATTCCTGGTACGAGGAGATCAACAGCTGCAACCTTAAAAGAAAGAAAACTAGTTGAAGTCATGCCCCATAGCCACATAGTGACTGGTAGAAGTACAGCTGACACTGATGGTTGTTTGTAAAACCCTACTGTAATTCTTCCAGAGTCTGTGACACTTAGGTAAGTATTTGCACATACTTGAAAAGTCTCTCGTTGACAGGAGAAGGCTAGGAGGAAATTTTGCAAGAATAAACTTCAGTAAATCTAAACGACAGCAGTGATGTTCCACACTGAGAGCATCTGTAGCAAGAGGTTTGAACTGAATCTCACCAAGTTACTCTAGTGACAACCCATGTGGGGTTATAAAGAACCCAACAGCAAATCACAAGACAGCAAAGACACATAGGCAAGTTTCCTGAAGCCCTGATTCCCTGCTTTGATGCTGTAGCTTGTGTTCAGCCCTATCTACCCCCATTCCTTAAGCCAGCTCTAGTGGATATGGTATCAATGGCACTCATGTGTTGAATCCAACTAATAGGATCCAAGTGATACCACTGAGGCTGTAAGGTTTGGGATGGCTGTCTTCTCTGTTTCGTCTTCTAGGGTTACTTTTCTTATCCCACAGCTGAAGTGGTTCTAGAACTAAAGCCACTGAAGTGAAAGTGGTACATGGCAGGGTAGTTGCTCTTTGTAGCAGAAGCAATGCTTCAGGTTGTCTCAGTTCAACTGGGAAATCACACCTTCAAAGCATGAGGCTTGTTGATAAAGAGCTTACTTCCTGTGCCCATCTGCTATTTGAGCATTACATGGATGTTACACTTGGATGACAAGAGAATCACGGACTGCTTCAAGCCATGCAATTCTAGGCATTTCACCTAACAGTACAGAAGTTTACCAGGAAAAGAAATTAACTATGGCAAACTTGTCTTAAGGGAATTAAGCTAAACTTTACACTATGCCATCTCCTGAATTTTTACCCTCCTGTTGTCCTTGCTTTGGGGATTTCTCACAACAGGAAAAGAACCAGACAGGATCACCTGATGGTCATGTCTTTTCTTGTACTTCTTGCATGGAGGCCCAGTAGATGATTATTTTCATCAGTCTATCTGTAAGTAGGCCACGATGTGCCTAGCCAAAAAAAGTGGTGGAAGTGTGACCAATGGACTCACTGTGTGTTGGGGTCCATCTTCATTGTCCCGCATGTAGAAAGGCTTGAGGTCATATGGGTAGTTAATCACAAACACAGGAACCTCACCACAGTGCTTCACCAGGTATTTCTCATGTTCCGTTTGGAGGTCACAGCCCCACTGCAAAGACAGCAAAAGGGACCTGGGAACCTGCCTTTGAGCATCTTGCCCATGGCAAGAGACCCAGCAAAATCCCCATGGAGAAGACGTGAAGCTTTGAATAGCATGAAACCAAGCAAAGCAGCTTCTTATACAGGCCACTGGGGAAGTCTGCTAAGAAGGCAGTTTCACAAGATTTAAGGCACAGCAAAGCATGGAAAATAATATGGTTTAACTTCACAGAGCAGTGCCAGATCTTCCCTTCATCAAACCCAAGCATCTGGTATCAAATCAGAAAAAATACTCTAAACAAACAAGCAAAAACCTCCACAAAATCACCTCTCAAAAAACACCCAACCACACAAACAAACAAAACCAACCAACCAACCATACCCAAAAATCAACACCCAAACCACACTCCACATATCTAAAGAGAAATAGGCATCTACTCAAAGTCAGCTTACTTGACCCAGCAAACTGGTCTTATTTCAGTATTACCTTTGATATACAGAAAGCAGCTTTTCTAGGCTGATCCTCTTCCCTGCTGTGTTCTGTTACATGCTACATTAATTCTCACTTAAGAAAACCCAGCATCCTATTAATGAATTTTTTGTTATCAGAAACCTCAGACATTTGCAATGCCCCTCACTTTTCCTTTCTCCCAGTGATGTTATAGATTTCGTGGCTTTTGACTTGAGACCTCAAGTTCATTTATAGGACGTGCAAAGAATATTGGGGGAGTAGAAGGAGAAGACTGGAACAGACCTCCCACAGATTCTCTTCATCTGAAAATATCCTGAGTTTGCTGTCTCATATCAAGGTAGTATAGATATGAGATCTGAGGTTCTACAACCCCTGGTACACAGAGATGAAACAGGTACCCAACTGGTTAAAAAGGTGGCTTCAGCCAGAGGGTTATTTTCCTCAAGGCGTCCGAATGAGATAACAATTAAACAGTACAAACATGAGGCGAGCACCACTACAAATGCTGTCCCATACTGGGGTGTGTGTATTTGAAACTGTGCAAAATACGATTTTTAGAAAACCATAATCTAACTGTTAGATAGACTAGCATGTTATTCTTCTCCCCGGTCAACATCTATTCTTCGGAAAGAGAAGGGATTCCCTTTACCTACATCTAGATTCCATGGTATTTTGACATGGTATTGGCTTATTTATTGTTGTGAAACTTTTGGTGCTACCTTGCTATATTTCCTTTATTTGATGACTATTGCAGCAACTCTCCTCAGATGATTGCTACTGAATCCGCAACACTCCCAGCACTACTCACACACAGGAAAGAGAAGTGCCTTTGCTGAAGCCTTGGTCCTTCAACAGCAAACTCATCACTTCCTTCCCTGCAAGTGTTACATGTTGTTCTGCTACAGATCTCACTCTTTATATTGCTCCCATTTCAACCCCAAGGGCAAAAGTTTCACCTGGGTGACAACCCAGCCAACACCCCAGAAGGTAGATAATCTGTGCCGATAACAACTCCTGTGGTATCAGAGAGAAAGGAGATTCTATAGAGCTCAGGCTATGCACAGGGACAAGCCATCTGGCAACAACCTACCTCTGGCTTGAAAGTGAAAGTTTGAGAAGCTTGCTTCAAAATTTCCACTGCTTCACTGTATGTAATTCTGCAAGAGGAGGAAAAAAAAAAAGTCTTTAAGATAACTATGAAAGGAACAACAAAGTTTTCTGGACAAGTGCCATGCTGGGAAAAATAAGGAGGCACTTCCCCACCATCATGCCAACTTGTGTGTAATGTCAGACTTCTCAGCAATGCTTCTTTGGACAGAAACCAAAAAGCATTTTATATGGCAAGAACCCTATGTTTTCCTGTCCTTCAGCTACGTGCTGGGCAGGAAGTGCTAAGCTCTCAACACTTCTGCATTATTGCAATGTTGCATTTCAGTCAGAAGTGAGCTCTGCAGAGAACTGCTTCACAGAAATTTGTGGATTTTTTTTTAAGAAAACAATGTGCTCTCATCAGCACAGCTACAACAACATAGCTCTAGCTCAGGGTGTGTTAAGCAAAAATAATAGCTCAGGGTGCAAAGCGCTTGTAGCTCAAATGTTTCCACTTTACTTTGCAAAAACTGTGAGATTTATTTGCAGCAATGTTTCGCTACTCCTCTGTCAGATTTGGGAGCAGATTCTCCACTGATTTCCACCAGCACAAAAGAACAGCATCACAGCAAAGCAAACAGAAAAATTGCAGCAAATGATTGTGCCAGGTCTGATAACTGGAAATCAAGACTCAGTGGAAAAGACTTTGGCTGACAAGTTTTCCACATACCAAGCAAAATGTCGTGGACAGAGAGAAGAAAGAACAACCTGATCACTATAATTTCATCTTTCTGTATCATTGGCTAAATCCACTAATAAACAAAATTCTCTAAGGAGCACAAGCTCCTTACACACAGCTACAAGATTTCACTAACACAGGGAAGGTTTCTGGAGGAAACACCTCAAGAAGGAATATATTACTCCATGTGTTTGGGTTATGTGAGGCCACACTCCAAATGAGGTATATCACTGGCACAGGTTCAACACATGTAACTGATGTGTGTAAGCCAGGAATGCCCCAGATCTGCCAGCAGCTGATGAAGAGAGAGACAGAGAGGGAGAAAGAGATGGTCTGGCTCTCTCTCTTTTTCCTTGGACCATGGGAGAAGTTGAGTGACAACTCTGTCCTCTCAGGAATATCAGTTAGGTCCAAAGAGAGGACTGAAATGGGGAGATGGTAACTTCCCTGAGGTTTTCCATGGTGCTCTTGCAGACAGAGACACAAGGAGGATCTATCACGATCCTATTGCCTAAGTGTGGCTGTAGCTGCTTAACAGGACAACCAGTGCTGGGCTGAGCAGACCTACAATGTTCTGTAGGACAAATGGAGAGCTCCACTATTTGAAGAGATAGGCAAGAATAAGGAAGGAGGTATTCTTGAGGGCCAGTGAGGGAAAACCAAACCCTTCAATTCTTTAGCACACATAGAACTGGGAATAGGAGTTGCACAAGCAATTGGGAATAGAAAAAAAGATGGAATTTTTAAATGTCATAAAATACTTTCATAAAAAGGGAGCAGAGATGTGACTGAAAGAAGAGCACCACGGCCAAAACCAAGCAAGACAGTGAGCAAACCAATGTGCAAGTACATGCTGGAAGGTGGATACAGTTATAGAAAGAGGATCTTGTCCAGGGGAGTGAAAAGCCAAAGGCCAGCAGATTTAGATGTCAGTCTCATGCAGAGATGAGAGGGTAATGACAAACAGTAAAAGGGAACTGCAATTCATGCTCCTTCGGAGATATTAGGCTAACCCAGAAGGCACCGAGTTGTGAAAGAATATATACAAAATAGGAACTCTTTCCCCAAAAGCCCTCTTCCAGATCATTTTGAAATAGTACTTACGTCACAAATTTGTTCTTCAGTATTTGTTCCAACCTGTCCTTGGTCAAAAAAAGAAAAACATAAACATATAAAGGTACTCTTAAGAGTTCAAGGGCCCAGAGGAAAGAGGAAACTCAGAAAAGTGACTTCCCTCTATATTTGAATTTGTGGGACTGCATTCTGATCTAGATATGGGTCAAAATCCACTCCCAGCCATTCAGTGCTAGAAGAGTGGTAACCCAATTAATGAAGATGATGATTCAGAGGTTGCCAGATGATGTGACGGCTACACTTCCACCATAATTGTGACTAGCTACACAAACCTGTGTATCCTCTCTCTGCTGGCCTGAACAGGTTGACATTTAGCTCTTTAGTTTCTTAATATAGGACAACACAGAGAAAAAAAAAGTTAGAAATTTGCCTCCCTATAGTCAAGAACCCCCAAAATACATAACAGGATTGCAGCTCTCTCCCGTCACATGTATTACCTTCTGTGCAGGACTGACATATTTGTGAAAAAGTTCAACATCACGAGGACATTTGGAGAGCACAGTGCTTGTTACTGTCTTGAAAAGATCTTCCATAACCTAATAGAAGAAAGAGAAGTGGATGAAATATGAACACTGCTTAGGTGTCCCAGACTACAAATGAAGCATGGTACACATCAGCCAAACGGTACAGAAGGAGCTTCTGTCCTTCTGCATGGTCAGACTGCATAAGAGGGTACCAGCTTGCTAATGCTCCTAATTAGCAGGCTTGCTTAGTAGTTGAAGAGGACTGGAACCTTTATTTCTACTATGGGTTTAGGACTTCAGTGTCTGCTGATGGCCTCAGTATCTTCAGTCAGGTATCTCCAGTGAAAAACAGCACAGCTAAAATATTCAAGCAGCAACCCTGGTCAGACAGACACATACTACAACAGTTTGTGGAGGTTGGTCTCAGATTAATTCTTGGTGAGGTATCTGTCCTGTAATGAGCCATTCTGGGTTTCTGCTTTGTTGTCAGAAAAAGTAGAACTAAAGGAAAGGAGAATAACCCTGTAGTGTGTAGAGCCAGCCCACCAAATGGATCCCAGCTAGAGAGACTCTGCAGAGTAAGCGCAAAGCGAACATACACAGAGATGAGTAGAGAGCTAAAGCAGAGGATACATCAGTGCAGGGATGTTTGAGAAACTAAAAAGATGTGTTTCCATTTCCCTAAACTAATGTGGATTAACTAAATGACATTATCATCCAATTTGGATATACTTATCCAGTAGAACGGGCTTCACTCATTAAGAAATTAAAATGCCATTAAAGCCCCCACATGCGATGCCACTGCATTTTCATCAACCTGTTTTAAGAGTAATTTTCTCTTTTAGTTAAGCAAAGCAGACCATTCAGAACACTTGCTGTTGTGCAGATTAAGAGTTCCCATGACTCCTCATAGTCTCACACCCGCACAAAGCAGGCAGTGGTATGACCCCTGCTATCAACTGATGATGGTCCCAACTCTTCTTCAAAATCACCCTCCTATTCCCCCCCTCTTCGGCAAGAACAGAACAATGCAGCTGAGCTGCACATCACCTCAGCCTGTGATGGGACTAGGTTTTTCTTAATAAAAAGCATCTCTGAAAATTCTGGCACAGGGCCCAGGGAAAACTAACTGTGAAAAGATGAACCTGATGTTCAGTCAGCAGATCAGACGAAGCAGCAGCAGGTCTCTGCCTTACATGCCCTTAACAAGGAACCAGAACCTAAAGGGTAAGAGGAACACAAGGCACAGAAATAAAGCAAGTGTGCTACTGACATAGCCAGTATGAGATGAAATTTCAGGGGCATTGTTCAAACTCTTATGTTTGGATGAACATCTGTCACCTGTCCCAAGCTGCTGGAACACTGCTCCGTGCTGAACAAGCTCTGCATCCCACTAGCCTAGCAAAGTTGGTAAAGCAATCCATTTTGACTCCTCTGGAGACAAATTCAGACTCAAGACTCCTGCAACAACCTGGGCTCTCTTTCTAAAAAGGGAAGATGCAAATAAAGGAACAGTATTATATGCAGATGAACAGTTTCACCCCTCCTGGTACTCAAACACAGAGGAAATGAAAAGCCAGCATTCCTGCTGCTGAGTGGCAAATAACCAAACAGTCAGCTTTGAACTTTCTTCAAAGTAGCTAGAAAAAGGCTTATGCAAATGAAATCAGAAAACTTCTTGGCAATTCATCTGGTTTCACCAGGCAGACACGAAGGGATTTTACATTAAGCTTCCTCTTTCTAGAAAATGAAAGTATCATCTGGTTTCAGAAAAGCATGTTGTTTAATTAGCACTTTTTTTCCTCACTGTGCGATAAAGTAACAATTAGGTTCCCACAGCATTCAACATGAGCAGCTTCCTCTTGTGGAAAAAAAGATGTGGGTGGTATGGGAAAAACAATCTGAGAAATATTTCCAGGTTTGAGACTGAGGTTTTATCCTGGCAAAAAAAACAGACACGTGGGTCATACACTGGCCTCCTCACTGCTCTTATTTATGCCAAACGTGTACTAGACACAAACAGTAGAGGGGGAAAAAAAAAAAGGAAAAAAAAATCTCAATCTGAGAATTTATGTCTTTAAGCAGATAGTATAATGAATGACTAGAAAGTAGGCAATAGAAGAAATGAGTGGAGAATTGTAACCACTGGCTTGCTGGATTGACGGGAAACATGAGCTGGAGATACAGGTGAAGTGATTGGTTTGAACATATCCTGAAAGAAACATGTTTGATAGGAGACTTACACAGGGAAAAAGGCACTGGAATCACAGCAAATAGCTCATCTCAGCGGTGGGACTTCTGATGTCCCAAAAGCCCATTAATTTGGTTGCTTCATAATGGCAATGTGGAAACTGCTAGCAGGAGGGCAGTCAAGAAGGACAGAGGTTAAAGCTTTCCCCCCTCCCTCAACCCTTCAGCTTTTCTCTATTTTCACCTTTCAAAGTTCAGCAGTATCAACCTTGGCCTTCTCCAATGCTGCTGTGTTACTCAATTTTGAACAACTTTCAATTTTGATTAGGAGCAGCTCCCAGGGGTATTGCTTAATTTTAACTTGGATCTTTTGATACTGCAACTTATCCTTTCCCAAATAAAATTATGACCAAAGTTGAAACAGGAAATCATCAATAAAACAGCAGTAAATGTCAGCAGCAGCAACTAGAGGTGCTGTGCATTCCAAGAAGAGTTCAAATCATCAGCCCTGTTACATAAGACACTTTCAGAAAAATCACATGACCTGCCAGTAGGATTTTTATTTATGTATTTACCTGAGGCATCCATATGGATGCAGTGTAGATCACAGGCTATTTACATATGAAACACTCACCAGTGGACCACTATTTCTTGCCCTCGTGCTTGGGCATACACACCGTACATGTGCGCCCATATATACACACAGAGAGGGGAGGATTCCCATCTGACCTTGGTCATAAAATCTCTCTTAGCTACACAACCAACAGCTCAGGACCCACTTTGGAAACATGCTGTTGTCATGCAAGGAAGGAGACTTGTCTGTAGGACCCCTGCTCCACTGGCCATCGAAGCTGAATGCTGATATAAGTTAGGGAATACAGCCAGCCTCAGCTATGGCAGCTGGATGTCACTTCAGAGAATGAACCTACAGATACCCCAATGTCCCTAAAGAGTGCTGAGCAAGACACTTGGAGTAAACCTTTCCCATGTGATTACCAGTGTTTGTTCCCTTGAGACTGCAGTCAGATTTGCTCAAGAACCTCAGCCTTAGCACTGAAGACAGAAAGAACGCTGAGTGCAAACTATTCTGGAAATCAAATCACATATATGTTTCAGATCCAAACTCTCTGAAGTTGACACCCACAATCAGTGCCACTGATTTCATTTCATGCCTGAACTCCCTTCTATAAAATGGAGGTAATAATGCTCCATGTCACTAGGCTGTAATGACAGCAAATTAATTTTAAAGAAGTACATAACCAGTGGAAGACAATACTTCTACCCTCAGGACAGAGCTCAAATACTGAGTATTAAATTGTATCTTAAAGAGATATATTCTTCATCCCTTAAAGAGACAGTGGTGCTAGGAGGTGATCTTGTTAAGGAAGACTAACACTATGCATAAACTCCCAAAAATGGGAGTTTTTCCTTCTGGCATTTCCTAATTTTACAGCCTAAATAATGTCTTTTTTTAGCATGGCTTTGTATGTGTGTTTTATGAAATTCAATAATGACTGTATCAAATGGTCTCTTTGAGACCCCATTAGTGTCATGAGTGAAGAGGGATCCTTTAAATCTACTGCACTGCCAAGACAGTGGAATGATAAATAGAAGATAACAGTCTACAGATACAGCTACATAACACAGCACTCAAGAGAGAGGGAGAGATTGACAACAGGCATCTCAGAGGACAAATGAAACTGGAGACCTTGGACAGTTACTGGAGGGGAGATGACTCTAGATAGCCATGTCTGGAAGTCCAGACACTTCCACAATTGAACCTCTTCCACTGTCTACCTGACCTTCTTCTAACTCCTTCTCATCCAGTTTGGAGGACGAAAGTGCCTTGGAGCAACCTGACCCAACTTCTTCACTTGTGTTGTGGAAAGAGGCTGCAGAGGTTTTTCCTTAGATACCCTTACATAGGTACCCTGTACAATAAAGCAGAAACACTGTTACCCAGCCATGCAGCATAAAGTACTGCACAGAGCACATGGGACTTTCCATAGAAAGTATTGTGAAACCAGTATTGTGAGAGCTGAAGCTTCTTTGTAGCACTAAAACACATTTTGGCAGAGAACACAAATTTAGATTGCCTGATTAACACACAAGAGACTTCACAAGAACTGCGCTACTAATTTAGGAATAACTGAGCACTGCTCTGTGCAATTACAGTGGGGGAAAAAAGGCCACTGCTCTAAGATTTCAGGCCCTTTGTTCCTAAATACATTTAACTTGGTTATTAAATCTTCTTTTTTCCTTTTATTTCATTAAGAAAGATACGTTTCTTTTGGAGTTTTGGCTGAAAGATCTCAAGGCCTCATCAGTGAATGGTAAACATCTACATCTTTATAGCAAGACTCTTTAATGGTGTACAAGCAAATACTTCAAGATGTCCCTGAAGAAGCTGAGCATTCCCAGCATATTAGTTACTATGAGAGGTACTTCGTCCAAATGTTGAATATCAATTTTAAAAATAAATTTTGAACAATTCAGCTCTTTATATGAGGACAAAGTTCAGTTGGTAACCCTGGCCAAGAGCCCCTGAGGCTTTCAACTGGGCGTTTTGCACTGAACAAAGAACTTGCAGATGACAACAAACAGACAAACTGCCCAACGGGCAGATATGCAAGAGAACACTGAATTTAGGTCAGTCACACCAGGAAAGAAACTTGACTTAGGCTTTAGAGCAGCTGGCAGGGTTTTTTGTTGATGTTTTTCCTTTTTTTAAAAGAGCGATTGCCCAATGATTTAAAAATAAACAAAATGGGAACTCCACTTCTGCAAATAAGAACACCACAAAATTAAGGCTGTTGCAATGTAGACTCACTATGAGGAATGTAAAATGAAGGCTGCTAGGAGACTTTCTGTTATTGGGAAAGAAGCTTGTCAAAGACTTTAGGACAGAGGGAAGATGTGAAGAGAGCACAAGATGAGACTTCACAAGATACTTAGCAACAACAAAAGCCAAGACAAGGGGGAAGTTCCTCTTTTACCTACAAATAAAAGCCCTACTCATTCCAGAACAATTCTCAAACCTAATTCTCTGAATTGTCTGAACTGGTTGTCTATACTTCAAAAGAGAAGAAATTAGGGTTCTCACACGGGATATGTTGATGCTGTGTTCAAGCGCTCAAACATCACTTAACAGAAGACCCTGCTTATTATCCTAGATAAAAGCAGTGAAGATTTCAATTAGCTCCTGATTGCCTAGAGAAACAGAGGACTCAGGAAGTAAGGTGTGAACAGATATACATGCTATGCTCTAAGAATACACGAAGTTGTTCTGGAGAAAAGGAGAGAGCAAAGAGATAGCAGGATGCTACTATGATGGAGCACAGATTCCCAGTGGATCAGTCCACACAGTCCAGTGCCATCCAGACATAGAAGCAGCACACAGAGCATGTCAGCTCTGCTGTCAGGCCATACTGACTCAGCAATGTGTATGATCCAGGCTGAAGAAATGACCACCCGGATGTTATTTTATAAATCTTTAACCAGTGTCTCAGGTATTTTTTTTTATAAGGTTGTTTCTCCAATAGCTTTCCAGGGAGCTTATCTGATAAACCGGAGTGCATGAGGATGTTTACTCCTAAGTCCTACTGGACCATAAGGTGGCTTACACTGAGACTAGTAAAATGCATCAGCATCCATCATGCTGTTAAACTGCAACCGAGAGGTCAGTCCTGAAAAATCAAAAGCCATCTGACTAAGGATTTCCTCCAGTCTTCTACTAAAGCCACAGTGAACAGTGTATGCCAAAAACTGCTGTTTCTACTGAAGATTTCAAGGAGGCCTTTACAGACCACATCAAGGGACAAATGTATAAATACTGTTCATTCACTGGAGAGGTGCTGAAGGTTTTGAAAGGGAGAGTGCCACTTTCTTTAGCACCAGTCAAGCACATTTACACACTTCCTGGCAATACAGCAACTGTGCAGCTTCAGATGAGGGCTGTGTGCACCTATATCTTCGCTTCCAAATCCCCTCTGCAGCCTCATCTTTGCTGAGGAAATCCCGATCTCTGGGAAATCCCTGTGGAGCCTCTACTTGGCTCACAGGGTGAGAGGAGCTGCAACCTAGTTGAGGGTAGGGAGCACATCTCAGGGAGGAGGAAGAAGGTCTGGTACTGGTCCTGCACAGACATTTGGAATGCCCACCTGCATGATGTCCTGTAGGCTTTCAGTGAAGGATAGCTCAGCCTCCACCATGTAGAACTCTGCCAGGTGCCGGCGACTCTGTGAGTTTTCCGCCCGGAACGTCGGACCAAAGGTGAACACATGGGTAAAAGCCCTGCAAGGTGACAAGACACAGGGAGGTCAGGTTCAGCACACAAGTGAGTCTGCTATAGCTAAAGCTCTCACTTTTCTCTCAGGATCTAGAAACAATGATGTTTTTATTTCATCTTTAACCTATTTAATGGCATTGCTCAATATGCCACTGTTATGTTCCTTTATCCAGGCATGGAGAGGAGTTATTCACACCTCTTCATGACTCAGGGAGGTTGCACACACAGTATTCAGCTTTCACTGTATACAAGTCTCACTCAGGACACTTTTTGCAACTGTGTGGGAAGAAAAAACAACATTCTGCACAGCCAGATAACTGGAGAAGCACCCAGACATCACACCAATCAGGTTCTCCTTGACCACACCCTTTCTTGTTTCTTTGGCTGCAATGTCCGACCTTCATGGGTGTTGTGAGACCCCAAAGCACAGCAGTGCAGAGGGTGCCCTGCAGCAGCAGTTGCTGGGCTGGTGCAAACACGGAGAGGTGGCTGGTGAAGCCCAGCAGGATGGATGCACGGTGTATGGCTTGCAGTCCCCCTCTAGTGGCAAGACCGAAGTTTATTGCTGAAAGAGCCTTCGAGATCATCAACTGGGCATCGTCCCCACAGCTAAAAATGGTTCAGCTAAAAGGGGTCCCTACTGCAGAGAGCACATCTGGGATATTGCTTGATGCTAGAACAACCAGTGCATTTCTCCAGTCACCTTCTGGAGAGTCCATTTAAATACATCCTCTCTTGTTCTGTAGTTATGTCATGCAGTGTTTCTACTTCCTTCATAAGAAACCTTGCTATCCAAACCCAACACACACCTAAAAGTTTTAGTTCTGTTTGGGAAGCTGCACTACAGGCAATACCTTTTACACCACGGGCTATGAACACTTGGGCTCCTGGACATCCTCAAGCCAGCAAGAGCTTCCCAAGCAGATGCCATGACAGCAGTGTTTCCCCTCTTGCTGCATGGGAAGCAAACCATGATTGAGGAAGAGAGTGAGCTGCTTCAGAAACACCATGAACTGGGCAGCTGCTATCTTTAGTACATCTTTAACTTGATGTTATTTTCAGCTGTAGGCAGCATGTAGGAGAAAAAGAACCCAAGCAGTAGAGATTAAGCACAGTTTGACACTCATGAAAGGATGCGTGCTAATAGCTGGGGTTGGCATTTGACTTGTGTATTGCTCTGCAAGCTTTCAATTTAAAGAGGATGTTCACTGAAGTTTCTGAACAGGCTAATTTTGTTAAACTGAAGTTTAAATAAACACCACTACAAAAAGCAGCATTTTTCCTTTTCCCCTTATGGAGACATCTGCGCTGCAAATAAAGGAACACACACATTCTGCTTCACTCATCTGTTCCCTCATGTCACATGTTGGTTAAAGGTTATGATCCAAAGAAAGAGCACTTTCTTCCTCCTTGAGTTGCTAGTAGTAAACACACCAGAAGAAAGTTTCAGGTCAAGACTCTGCCTGTAGGTTTCTTTTCCCCAGGGCTCTGCTTTCCATCCTCCAAAAAACACACTTTCTGTCTCTACTTTGCTCCGGTACCTGCACTCTCTCATACACGACCACAGCATCTATGACTCTAACCAGATTTTGCAGCAAACATCTTTCCTCAAGCATCATTTTCAGCATGCCTCTTTTCCCTCTGATGCCTTTCTTGCTACGATGTTACTGTGAAACTTCTGCTGTCACTCGATCATCCTCCTTCAAACTGCCCTTTGCTATAGCGTCTATAAAAAAACCTCATCAATGTTTAGATAAGTGATGTACCAAGACTATTACTCACTGCACAGGTCAGTATTACATCATAGGTTCCTTGTGATCCCCCATCTGTAGCCACCTGTTCTCTTGGGTTATACAGAAACACATGTTCTTCCTCAACAAGGTCATTTTGGTTTGTTTTTTTCCCCTATTCCCACAGCACCTGGCACAACAAGGTCTTGGATCCAAAGCTTAAGAGCCTCAACTACTATAGCAATACAAACAACAAATATAAAACAATGAGTCATGCTGTCAAAATTGTTTTGTGTTTAAGGCAGAACTGGTCAAAAACTTTTGCTTGCCAGCTTGTGGAGGCTGGCCTGCAGTGGAAAACAGGAGATGCAGGTTCTTGTTCTGCCTGTCCCCATGTTTCAGGCTTTGGCTAAAGTATTCAGTTAAAGAAAGAGTTTTCTCTAAATACATTAATTTACTCACAAGCTCAGTTTGTGGCTGAGCCAGGATCAGACACATGACAAAAGTATTTTGAAACACCTGCATTCGCTGACGTACCCATTCAGGTCTGCTCAGTTTGATGTGCAGGCGTCTAATCTCTCACTAACATGAAGTCCTCCAAGTAACACTTAAAACTAAACTGTGACACTAGTTGGTTAGCAGGACATCCTGTCCCACAGATTAACAGCCCGGCTTCAGCAATAGACACATTTCTCTGGGGCTGTCCAGGCACAGGCACTGACATTCGGTCACTGTAGGTTACTATGACAGGTGACAGTCTCCAGCAATGCAGGCTACTAAGAGTACTTTGAACTATACTTATTTCCTACTGAACAGCAGCCCAAGCATGATTACTACTTACTTATCTTCCAAGGGGGTTGCCAACTGCATGATACCTAAAAGCAATCAAAAATTAAAAAAAAATTCAGATTGCTTCAAGATGTCAACTATGGTCAAACACTTCACAGTCACGGATCAATTTTGTACTGCAAGAATAAAGTGTCTGTGCCTGAGACAGAGTTTTTGGAGAGGGGAAGTGCAGAAAACTGTCCCTGTTCCCACAGGAACAAACTTCTGTCTTTTCTCAGCTCTAGGCATCCTGTCGGGATGAATTTTCTCTAACTTGTAAACCGAGAACCACCTCTGTTTACAAAATGAAGCATTAGCACTGCAACTCTATGGACTATCCCAGAGCGCTCAACAACAGTAAGGGTAAGGGCTTCGTGATAGTCTGTAGAACCTCACATCACTGGTTTGGGGCTGAATTTGCCTGCCTGACTCTTGGAAGAAGGGAAAAAACAAAACCCAGCTCCCCTGCTCTCCCCTAAATAAACCAACATGTGCAGGGAGGGGGTAATCATTCATTTCCCAGGCTAATTGTAAAGGAAAAGGACAGATACAAGTCAACTGTGAGAACTTCACCACAATCCTGGGACCCTGGCAAAGGGAAACCAGCCAGATGACATGCTGGCAAAATGATCAAAGGAGCGCAGTAAATGCAAGTCATCTGGTAATGACAATGTAGCACTGACCAGAGGCCTGGACATAACAGAGAAACACAGCTAAAAATATATAGTCCCTGTTATCAACTCCATGCGTGAACAATTATTTTCCATCCAGGCATTTATATACTGTTTACTGTGCTCTGCCATTCAAGATATTGAGCAAATGCCCACTACACAAATCCAGCCTTTATCTGTACTTCATCTGCTATAAAAAAACATATCTGTGATTTGATACACTGCTGTATCACACTGAGAATGTATAAATATGTTAGAAAAGAGGGATGGAAGCTGACTCCACTCCAATTTCATGGTACTAAGGGCAAAACCAGTAATTTTGTTCTGTGTGCATTCAGCACCTAGCACAATGGAGTCTCAGTCCAGGGCTGTGAGTCCTATGCTCTACGATGCAAATAATTAATCATTTAACATTCCCAGACCTCTGCAAGACTTCCAGCATTTAAAAATAGCTAAAACATTCTGGCTAGGTCTCCAAAAGTGCCTAGGTCAGTTAGGGTTGTGGGCACTAATGAGTCCTTAAAAAAAAAAAAAAAAAAAAAATCAGTAGTGCTAATTCCTCATCTCCAACAAAAGCACGCAAGAGAAGAAAAAAAACCTAATAATCTGTCGAGCCTTTTTCCTTAGCCATTACACCAGAAGCAGTAACACTGTCCTTGTACGTGCTACCAAAGAATACAAGAGAAGCTTTGAAAAGACTCCCTTTGCAGTCAGCTTTACCCAGATCAGAGCTCTGGACAGCAAGCTCAAGTGCATTGATGCAGCTCACAGGCGCTGCCGGGGTCAACACCAGAAGGCACAGAACCACTTAATTAATTGCTCCCTTTCTGTGACTGTATTTCACTCTGTCCAGTTCTCTGGGAAAATTTGAGAGCTTAACGTGGAGGCCAAGAGAATACCCGTGGCACTGCCTCCAACACACTGAAATGCAGCAAAAGCCAGGGCCCATCCTGCAAAACCCTGAGCTTGCTCGCCCCAGCCCAGCAAAGGGCTCAGCCACTTTCCATCTACAGGCTCACAGGAGTGCCTTTGGACACTGAAACAGCACCAGGCAGCATTGCTGGAGACGGCCATCCTCTGCACGGATGGTCGCTCGGTGGAGCCTCAGTTTTGCACAGACTGCTCTTGTGTTCTCCACTCTATGAACACCCAGGAAGGAAGAAACTTCCCCCTTCCTGCCTTTATTTCACATACTACTGAAACATTCTGAAGAGTAGCCACCTCTCTCCCTTTGGGAGCTTTCTGCCACACACAATCAAAGCTCATTTCATTTGAGTTTGTTAACAATTCATTATAGAGGCAGTGATAGAAACCAATAGAGAAGTAATAAGTATCCGTGCCCAAAGCTGCTTCAAATCGTTCTTTTAATTAAACTCATGCAATGTTTGTAGGCCTCACTGTCTCTGCCTTACTGGCAATTTTTATGCTGCAATCCAAACAGAATTAATTGTGTCGATGGTTCCCAAGCCAGGAATGGATTGTGCTCCTTTTCTGAGCCAGGACTCCACGCTGCTACCGAGGTAATAAAGACTTATTTGTGCTGTCGAACCAAGGGGATATAACTCTGAACAAGGCTATTAATCAAGAAGATGCAATCCCTGCACAGTCAGCTTACAGCCCATGCCAAGGTCACAACACCACAGTAGTGACACGGCTGGAGGCAGAAGCTGGTTGCTGTGACTCAGAGCTAAGCACTAAACCACAGCAGTACACAGAGGGAGCAAAGATGTTTTTCAAAACTTAATCATCACAGTGACCCCTAGAGTAAGCCAACAT